GAGTAGCAAGGCTTGACTGATGGAAACTGAGTGCTGGGGGTTGTCTGCTGTGCAGTCAGTGAATTTATTTTTCATTTTTGTGATGGTTCTATGGAATCTGAAAATTGGTTGGTTTCTTAGAGGWAAAGCTATCAGGAGCTGAGTTTTTGCTGTGTCTTCCCCCAGTCCTTGATAAATGGGATTTTGTGTGCCTTTCAGTGCACTTTGAGAAGATCAGGAGGTGAAATCATGAACGAGTWAGTTCATGAGAAAATGCTCATTGTCCAGGGGAGTTTCTTGATCTTGCATCTTGTTGTGGGGCAAAAAGCACTTGGGTTTGAGTGTAGCACCCTGGTGTGATCCTGAGGGATGCCAGAACCAAAAAATCAACATGAAATCAGCAGCCTCAGCCATTCAGCTCATGGCAAACTGTTCCTTATCCATTCCTGTGGCTGTGCCTGTGCAGTGAATTACTCCAGGTGGAATCATCCTCAGCTCTTCACTCCTACAAAAAAAATCATAACCTGACCAGGAGACACAGTTCAAAACAGTAAAGAAAATGTGATTTCCCAAATTCCCAAGATCAGCTGTGTGAGAACTCTGGAAGGCCAGGCTCTGGCAYTGGTTTGCTCCACATGTCTGTCAGACTGCAGTGTGGGGTTTRTGATGTCAGTAGGACGTGTCATTGAAGTGTTGATTTTTGGGGAGTAAACATTAGAAACTGAACAGGCTTGCTGCTTGCAAAGTATGTTTGAGTGACAGCTGTTCTGTTTTCCTAAATTTCAGCAGGCAAAGTATCTTGGAGTGTTCAGGAGCTAAATCTGTCAGCTTTCTGATACAAAGGAGATTTTGCGGGGTTGGAGCACTGACAGAAGTGGGGGTGGAAGCACAGTGACAGAACAAAAATCAGAAATAAATACAGCTTTACTTTGCACTTTAATTTACATTCTTGCTATATTTTAGAGCCCAAGGCAGGCACACTTCAGGCCACTGTGGGTGAAAAGTATTTCTGAAAGGCTGAGGGTGTTGGTGCCTTCCTCCAGACATCCAGAGATGGGCACAGGGCAGGACTGGGAATATGRGGCATCCTCAGGGGGACCCAGCCAGACCTGCCCTGCACTTGCCATGGCTTTATTTCACCTGCTAATAAATGATAATAATGCTGTCACCCTTCACCACTCCCAAACTCTCAGGATTTCATGTATAGTTAGAAATGAATAACGCTTTGGGTACCAAATCTTTGTTTTTGCAGCTGCTGCTGGAAGCTCTCTGCGTGCAGATCCTATTCAAATTCTCCTTCTCTTTTGATCTGGCTGTCAGCATTTGAAGTTGACTGATATTTATCAGGGTGCTCAGTCCTGCCCTGCTTTCCCCAGTGCATCCCCCGTGGCCTCTGCCTTAATGCTGAAGTGGCAGAGAAGCTGCCAAGCTCCATCCACACTGCTGAGATCAGACTGATGACTTGGGYTGCCTTCTCCACCTGAAGATTTTGCCATTTTGGATGAAGGTTCTCCTGTTCTTTTTTTTGTTTTGATTTTCTCTGCAAAAGGTAAGAAGTGTCACCCCCAAAAAACCTCTCAGTGGGGAAGCAGCTCCTGAGTTTGGCTGGAAAACTGGGYTTAATGCTTGGTGAGCATTCAATGATACATCCTGGAGGCCTTCARCGAGTCAGAGAATGAGTTTAATTCATAGTTTTGGGTGTATTTCTCCTGCTGTTGGGTTACTCACTTGAAAAGTGGCCATATTTTACTGTCAGTGCCTTTGGAAGAGAAATAGTGCTCGTTTCAGTATAAATGAGAGAGAAGTGTTACCACAAGACAAATTTGTGACGAGTGTTCTTCTGTTGGTACAGATGGCATCTGTGTATTTTTATCACTATAAATCACTCACAGTTGGAGTCATACTTAGTCCAATATCTTGCTTTATGTTTATTGACATAATCACAGTTTCAGAGACGATATTAATCACTCAGTTCTTTGGAAACATTTGGATTGGTAGATGAAAAAACATATTTATTTTGAGAAAGCAAATGGTACAATTAATTTTCGCATATTTGTACATTTGCAAATAATAAACAAGTATATTGCAAGGCAGTGGATTAGCACACTGAAATATTGATTTGTAAGCCTTGTTTTTCTCCTACAATACACTGTAGGCATAGGATAAATCAGGATTTCTGCAGTGCCAGGAAATGCACTGGGGGAGAGTTACCTACATTTAAATGCAAACTTATTTCTGTAGTTTCTCCCCAAAAGTCCCAGTGTGTTGGTGAAATTCCTCAAGAAGCCTGGAATTTGTTTGTGATGCTGTGCTGACCATGGCAGTGTGAGCTGGAGGGGAGAGTGGGAGGGTCACACAGAGGGCTTGGAACATTTTCCCTTTCTTTTTCCTATTTCTTTTTCCTATTTCTTTTTCCTATTTCTTTTTCCTATTTCTTTTTCCTATTTCTTTTTCCTATTTTTTTTCCCTTCATGAAATGTTCCCATCACCCCAGGAAGGAGCTGTGGGCTCTGCTCCCCTGCATCCTCGCAGAAGGGTGAAGAGGGAGCAGGCTCACTCCACGCTTTGCAAACCACAGGCTACAGCCTGAAGTGAAACAAAAGAGCAATTTCTTCATTTTCTCAATGAAAACCCTTGAATTTCCCCCCTGCTTTCTCCAGCAGGTGTGAGGTGATGCCAAGCTGGTTGTGTAACCCCCGTGACCTGATCAAGACAGACAACTCCTCATCACTCACTGGTTTTATCACAATTAATGCAGTTTTCCTCTTCTGAACCTCAGCAATCAGCCAGCTGAATTAACTTTGAAAGGATGGCATTCAAACYATGAAATACGTAAATTCAACTAAGATGTAGCCAGATAATTTTGCACCAGTAACATTCATTGAAAACTGTAAGAAAATGTGTGTTTCTACAGGCAGGCACACCCAACCTAACCAGTTTCAAATTTGTACACACTTGCATTAGCAAATTGAAGCTTGCTTTGCTCAACTGAAGCATGAGTCACAGAGATATCAAAGAAAATAACATCCAAAATTCCACCTGAAGAGTAACACATAATTAAAAAATGGGTTGACTCAAAGGAGCAGCCRTCTTCATAAGCAGAATTATCTTCAATGACCTTCTCTCTATCTAAATGTGCCTTCACACAAAGGGCTCCACTGGCTGTCCCTGTCCCTGGGAGCCCTCCAAGAACACCAGCAGGATTATTCCAAGAACCAGGAGAGCTTTGGCACTGAGCTGCTGGTGTGCAGGAGCGTGGGAGGTGGGATTTGTGTTTGTTTCTTGTTTTTGTGGCACATTTATTAGCTGTAGTTTAGTGTTAATGGCTCTGGGTAGAGCAGAACATGACATTTGTATTTCTGGTGTGGAATCTGATCAAAGAAAATTCTCCCTCTTCAGTGGATCTGTGAAATTCAGTTGCCACTGTAAAGGAGAAGGGAAAAATCCTTCGCTTACATTTTTCTGAGGGGAGTAATYCCATTAACTCCAGGGCACAATCACGAAAAATTATCATTTTGCACCATTTTACAGGGGGCAGGCCAAGAAAAGGGATGGCAAGTGATTCCTCACAATGCAGGAATAATATTGCAGCTGCAGACCCCAAAGAAGATTCTCTGATTTTACACACAGTGTAAAAATCACAACATCCCCTTGGATCTGAGAACACTCAGAGCACAGCTGGGAGCAGATCGTGCCCCAGGAGGCTGCAGTGGGCAGAAAGGAATATTGCAGAAAATAATTTGCCTAATCTGTGTTACAAATCCATATTCACACATCCATACATTTGTGTTGAGGTATTTCCACATCACAGCAAAGGGGACATCAAAAGTGCCCCAGCTGAAGGCWCTGGGATGAGCTGGAGCCTCTGGCATGAGAAGGGATTGWTTACTGCAGGACMTGGAATTCTGCACTTGGTGATGTGGTACAGGCACGAGAGAGTGATGGCTTACCTTGGGTAACCYAAAATTCATCACAGAGCTCAGGAGAAAAAAGCCTGATCCCATATAAACACATTTTCCTATCAACAATAATCTTCCCCATCCCACAGCCCCTGGCACGCTCAGGTACTGGGGTTTGGTGTAGCAATGGCTTTTAATCTTTTACTTATTGAGGTCCTATTAATGTTTAGAATAAACCCAAATGTATTAAATGCGCAACATTAGCCATGTTAGAAATTCCTGCCATGAGGAGATAATTGGGTGTGTTTGTAAGTAACATTCTTTAGTGAAAAGACATTGACACATATGGTATTTCCTATATGGATTCAAATGGCATTCATATTACATATAGGACAGACTTCATTCAGGCATCTGTAAAAACTTTAACTTTTTTTTAAAAATGAGGTCTACAGTGGAGTTATTTTCCTGACTAAAGCATTGTGTAGCTTTGTGTACCTGCAGAGAGCTGGGAAGGAGGAGCTGGAGCTGGAAGAGCTYGGAATTGAGGTATTGATTTGCAATTCTTTGGGAATTCCCTGTGGGAGATGAAATGTCAGACATGTCTGTTATGTCCTTACAGTCACAGTGACCTCAAGAAGGAACTTTTCCTTTACTTCCTCCTTTCACTGGGTCAGAGGTACCAGCYTGTGTTAAMTTCYTATATAATCTTTAATCATGCCATGRTGCAACAGAAAACTCCAAACTCGATGGGAGCTCCATATCAAAATACTGAGTAATTATTTCTTGCAGCTGATCAGAAGGACAGAGCAAGACTAAACCAACAAAATAATATTTAATTTGGATGTAAAAAACTGCTGCTGGAGTTGCAAATTGGGAATTGTCAGATTTGAGAGAGCAGAAGTTGGTTCCCCACACCTGCAGGAATGCCCTTGGTGAGCTGATAAGGCAGATTGTGCAATTTTCCTACCAAATTCTGTAAGATTGCTGCTGCAAGAATTCTGCCATCTGCAMCTCATTTCAGAGAGACCAGCTGTGCTGGTGCTCCTTTGGCCACATCCATTTCAGAACTGCAATTTCATCTTTTAGGCTTGGATTCCATTCAAAATAAAATTTGTAAAGAAAGAAGATGTAAAATGTCAAACTGCAGCASCAGCCCCTGCCCTGCCTGTCCCTCTGCACTTTGGATGATTTACATGTCATATTCTGCCTCATTAATGGGAACGAATATCCAAAAATACCATCAGAACCCCTTTATCTGCCTTGTGGTGATGCACAGGTGAGACAATGGCATTGGAGAGAAAGATGAGATAGTACTGAAGTGAGATTTTATAAATCTGTCTCAGGCATCACATGTGAAAGAGGTGTTTAATAGATGGGAGTAAAAGTATTTATAAAYATTATGATGATTTAAAAATTCTGCTTGATAACTTGCTGCCTTGAATCAGAATGAATGAAAATTACTAGCACGTATTTACAGGGGTTTTTTTAGAAAAAACTTGTTTTGATGTTTAATGTCAGAAAAATAGAAAATATTGGGTATGAAAAGGTATTGAGGTCTGTATGTGAAGTACATMAAAATAATTCTAATAAWTAAACSTTTCAGCTCTACTCTTCTGTTTAAMTAAAATGTTATTTCTATAAAGATTTTTCTTCCTACAGTTACTGAGACTGCCCTAATTATTTATCTTGACACAGTATTTAGATGAAAATTCATAATAATCTGTTGTTTGCTCGGATTATAACCAGATTTTTCCATTTTTATTTGTGTACACAGCTCAGCTGCGTGAAGCTCTGTTGGCAGGTGAGGACCATGATAGTTCCTACATCTTCTTTGTGGTTTTTGACAACATTTTCAAATGCAAATACCCAACATTAACTAATCTTGGCCTAATTTTCATCCTGGTGCCTCGACATTCCTGCTACTTTGGGGAGAATTCAGCAGATTTGAACATCCTTTAACTGGCTTGGAATGTTACAGATTGTCCAGCTTTTCTCCTGAAGCTCAAAAATGCAACCTCAATGTTCTTTTAGCTTCTGTGGCATGAGCTGCTGAAGAGAGGGGATTTATCAGATGGAATAGTTAATCCAGGGCCCGGCTCTGGCGTTTGATAACGCAGAGGCAGAGCTCAGGTCGCAGCTTGCCCGTAATTATAGATCACATAAACACATTACAGCAGGAGTTTCTATAGGCACCGTTCCAGGAACAATCTGGGCTTGTTCTAAATAACAAATATAGCACCAGTGCAGAGTGTGGGAAAYGGCACATCCCATCCAGTGAAAACTCCTGCTGCTGGAGCTGCCTGCTTTGTGTATGAGAATATGAGAAAAAAATGAGTTAATTGGGGAGTGAGAGGAAGCAGTTGGGAGTAATTGTTTTGCCAAATTAGCAGTCTTGAAGATAAGACCAAGTTCACAAGAAAATTCCTTAGTGTCACTATTTGGCAAGAATATGTGAGCTAAAAGGAGGTTAATTGGCTGTTCTGCAAAATAATGGAAAAAAACTCTTTTTTTATTTGTGGAGGCACCTGCTCCCTGCCAGGCAGAGCTCGTGTCAGGATATCCAGGGGAGGGATGGAATGTTTGCAGAACATCAGGAGCATTTTTGGGTGATTGCATGGACCAGGCTGAAAAATATTTGCAGCTCCTCATGACTGCATTCCTTCCCTTTATCCTCAGAGTGAATTTTCTCCCTACCAGGGTGGCTCCTGGAATTCAGGCATGAGCTGACAATGAATCTGTGCATTCAAAACTGATGATTCCTTCTGCTTGGAAGGATGAAAAAAATTGTGCTTCTCCATTCCTGTTTTCATCCCAATGAAATGTGCTTGGAACATAACAGGAACCTTCCTTTTCCTCGTAATAGCCCRGGAAGGTTTTCCCACCCAGCACCAAGGATTTCACTGGTGGGTTTTGGTGYTTGTTGGAAGTGGCTCAGTGGAAAACAAACAGGCAAAACCTCACAACAAAAGAGATTTGTGTGGAATAACCAAAAGAGATTTGTGTGGATTTGTGTAAGAATTGCCCAGGCTGTGAGAACTGGGAATGTGCAAGGAAAAGATAAAAARCCTGCAGTGGGTACTGCTGAGATCCATTGATTCATCCTTTCTTGTTCAGCCTGAATAGTTCAAAACATGTTCAAAGTCATTAATTTGGTTTTTTGGTGAGGTTTTTTGGTGTTTTTTTTGGTGATTTTTAAAAAATTTTTTTTGCTGGGTTTTGAGTTTTTTTGGTGATTTTGTTTGGTTGGTTTGGTTTGTTTCTTTTTTTAGCCGGACTTTTGTTTGAGGGTTTTTTTTTAACATTTCTATCTTATTTTCATTGTTTTCATGTTTTCTACAAAGGCCTGGAGGACAGGGTTTTAAACACCCATTTATTGAGGGACAGTTCCTGTGCTACAGAAGAAAGGAACGGATGTATCTAATCCAGTTTTTTGTGTGGGAGAGGAAAGTAGCATAAAATCAGAGAATAAAAGTCAAGATTTTTATTTAGGGTCTGCAGCTGAAATGTTGTTCATACTTTTGTGACAAATCATTTGCCATCCTTTACTTGGCCTGCCCCCTGTAATACGGTGCAAAATGACAATTTTTCATGAATGTGTCCTAACTAAAAAGAAAAGAAACATTTCACATATTTATAGGGATAAATAGATCCAATACAATGGCAGAGGAAAGCTGTTGTTTCATTTGGTGAGTGAGAACCCTGGGATTCTTTGCAAAAATTCTCATTAAAGAAAAACATTTGTCAGGATACATTCCAAGAAAATATTTTGGCCACTACTTACACTCTGGGATGACTTGTCTGTAACAACTTTTAGAAACACTGGTCATGGGATCTCAGCTCGTTCTCATAATAATTTTGATGATGATGCTTATCATTCTTATTACTATTATTATTATTTTTATACAGCTGATTAAATGTCATAACACTTGGCAATTAATGTCCTATTTAATTACAATAGGAGGACWCTGTGAGGAGCAGTGATGACTGGCCCTTATTTCACCGCCTTTGAAGTTTAACTCCACCCTACAAAGCACCTTATTCCTGAATTATACCTGTAATTCTCTCTCCAAAATGCTTGCACAAGACTGAGGTTTGTTGCCATCGACTCAAAACAACACCAAGGTAACAAACCAGAATTTTCTGACTCTGAGCCACTATAAAGTTGCCTCGTCACTTATGTTTCCCCCTGCACTGGGCTGAGATGGTTCTGAAATGCATCTTTGTCCTGGAAAGAAAGTTGCACAGCATGGCCCATTCTGTTATTGTAGTGTTAACAGGCTATAAATATTTTAATAAACTAAATTACACACAAATATTTTATTAAAATTAGCCATCACTTAGATGAAACATTATTTTATTTARTGAATGTTCTATATTTTCCTCTATAAATACCTTCCTGATAATTTCTGTCAGCTCAATCATTTTCCCTTTGCATTGTGTTTTGTTCAGCTGTTGGCTCAATGAGTTGTGATGAAAGGACTCCAAATTCAAGATTTCTTTTCAAATGTTGTTCATTTTTTAAGAATCCCAGAGCTAGGCAACTTCTATAAATTATAATACAGAATTTACCTTAGCGAGAGAAGTAAAGTATAGAAAATTGTAATGAATAATTTGTAAAGTTTAGGAAAAAAGTTTAAGATTCTCAATGTATTTTATTGCTTGTCTATGAATACTACACAGAGTAAAATCTGTCATCACTGCAGTGATGCTGTGGGTTTGAGTTACAGTGTGAGATTATTGCTCACACAGCTTTTGAGGAAACCTGCTCTGTGTCCTGCAACAAAATTCTTCTGAAATAATTAAAAAAACAATTATGACACCCTGAGGGTGGTCAGTTTGCAGAGGAGCTGTGGCTGCCCCTGGATCCCTGGCAGTGTCCAAGGCCAGGACAGGATTTGGACACCCTGGAACAGGGGGAGGTGTCCCTGCCATGGCAGGGGTTGGCTTTAGGATGGGTTTTAGGATCCCTTCCAACCCAAACCTTTCTGGGTTTTTTGAAGGTTTTGGATCCTGAATCTGCCCATTTTGAAGAGAGCAGCCTGGAGTCAATCCCTCTTTGACTGTGGCTCCTGCTGGGCTCTGGTGGCAGAGGTTGAACATCCCCAGGAAGGTCTGTCCTGCAGGAAGGAAGGGAACACCAGGGGAGCAGGATCACCCATCCCTGCAGTCAGCTCTCAGACTCCCTGGGGGCAGTTTGTAACTCCTTGGGCAAACCCAAACACCTTCCAGGCTCAGTGCAGAGATCTGGGCATTCTTTGGAGCAGTTTTGCAAGCCCTGACTGACTCCAGCTGYGTGTGTTTGGTTTGCCCAGAGAGCAAGAGCCTGCCAAGAGAGCTGATTTCTCCTTCTCTCAGGTATTTCTAGAGAGTCTCTTTTGCTTTGAGTTCTTTCAGTAGAAATGTTTTTGACATTATTAAATTTACTATTTTGCAATCTTTAACCAGTGAGAGGAAATAGCATTTTCCCCTCTGTTCACCACATGCAGCTCTAGAAATAATGGTTTATAAAGGCAGCAAGGGAAATTTAAGATAATGCTGAGGAAAATACTCTGATGACCACAATTAAGCCATGGAGCAGATTTTTGATTTTCTGTAGAGGTTCTGCTGCTGCTGGAAAGGGACTGACAAAGCTGAAGATGCATTTAGGTTCAGCTGATCCCTCAAGGTTCTTCCACCTTCCATTGTCAATGAATCAGGAACAGAAATGAAGTGTGCCTGGTGCYTTTCCAGCCTCAGAGATTCCTTTCCTTTCCTTGTCAATGCAGGAGTGATGACCCTGCTGTGCTTTTCCCCTCCTGGTTTATTGATTTACTGCAGTTCAGTTTGTGTGGCTCAGAAAAGCTGGTTTTACAATTGTAAACGACAGAGGTTGTCATGGGGCTTTGTAGTTCCTTCTCTTTCACTTTTTTCCAAGACTGGCAAAGAATCTTTACAATAAAAGTGGAATTATAACAGTCATTCTCCCAGGCTTGAGCTGCCACATCCATAAAAATATCCCAACAGAAATGTTAAAGGACAGAGATGCCAGGATTCTGCAGGGAAAAAAAAAACCCAAATTGTTGTCCCTAACACTGCATTTTCCTTTGAAATACCCATCACAGTCAAATTCAGAGTTTGTGATTTCAAYTCAGAAATTCTAACCTGTGAGGCTATGATGGTTTTTCCAAGTGGAAAGGTGTTTAATTCCCCAGGCTGGGGGAATGGTGGTTGGGCTGGTTTGACAGAGAGCTCTCTGGTGTTGGAATCCTAGAATGAAATTCTYCGCACGTGTTCGTGCATTCTGTGAAATCAGAGGTCTTTGTACTGTGTTTACTGAACAGCTTTTATGAGATATAAATACCAGCACATTCTGGTGGGTTTCTAACAAACAGAATGGTCTGCTCAGCCCCAATATGGTCCTGTGTTAGAGCAGATTGGATGGTACCCTTCGATGATGGGAAATGCATTTCAATTCCATCCAATGGCATGTATGGCTCATAAATTTAGCGAGGCTGTGGGTGTAGAGAGGCTGATTGTGTAGCATTATTCATTACGTGCCTTATATCAAGTTTTGGCTCCTATTCTGTTCAATGATTGCACATTAGCATTCTTCTTGATCCTTGGTGCGTGATGCTTCCTGCAGAACTGGTTCCAACCAGTCCTCCTGCCTGAAGAATATTCTTTCTCCTGCTCCTGTCATTAGAAAAACTTATTATTGATCGTTGATGATTTTCCAGAACTCTTCCCAGTTCCTAAAGCTCCAGGCTGGATACTCAGAGAGCAGCCATGTCTGGAGCAGTGCTGATAGGGGGATGGATGAGGAACTGATGGGTCATTTAGGAAAGGCTCCTGATGTCCCTTTCTACTCTGGCCACGGGTGGAAGGTCCTTCTGTGTCTTTCTGACTGGTCAGTTGGGTTGCCAGTTGACTTACAATTAAAATAATGAGGCAATTATGGAGTTCTGGGAGTGAGAGTCTGAATTGCACTGAGCACAGAATTAGCAGTTTGTGGATCAGTATCTTGTGAGGAGCACAATTCTCTCTTTTCACTCTCACTTCTGGAGCCACATGCCTTTTTCTATTGCACTCAGTTTATTTTAGCCCCGTGCTCTGTGGTGTAAAATGCTTTCATCCTATTCTGTGGATAATATTCCTTTGAGACAGAGAAACTGGGCTGCAGGGAATGTGGAGCATTTCTTCTGATACAGTTATATGTGGTTGTTGTTGTTATTATTATTATTGTTGGTATTAGCATTGGTATCATTATTGTTATTATTGTTATTATTGTTATTATTGTTATTATTGTTATTATTGTTATTAGGCAAGAATTTTACCAGTAGCTTTAAGAGCTGATAAGTGAACAAGGCCAGATATGGCACGGACCACCCCCAAGGGCAAATCTAGTGCCTGAAACATGCCACCTCTTATTTATCCTTCTGGTTTTAATTGAGAAAAAAAAATCCAATATTCTTATCTTAACAAAATACATCTTGTTTTTCAGATGGTGTGGAAGTGTTGGAAGTGTGGAAGAGCAACACCTGCCTTGCAAAGGAAGTAAAATCATCTCAAGCTGATTATCTTCAGCAGTGTCTCAAGTAAGGACTRTTCTCACTTCCAAATATTCCCAAATTTCTCCTGTTGCCTCTAGGATTTTATGCAAACAGGTCAGTGTTAAACCAGCCTCCTTTAGTTCAGGTTTTTAAGCCTCTCTTAATTGGTCCTAAAGCCTGAACCTGTTGATGTTTGAAGATCYTACTCATTCCCTGGCCCAGCAGCAGCACAGAGCAGGGAGGTGAGGTGCTGGTGAATATTCTGGGATATTTGGGTCAAATATCAGGGATATTTGAGGTGACCCCCAGGTCAGACACTGCTGCCAATTCCAGCTGCCTTCAGGATGCTCTGGGRACACCTCATCAGCTCCTTCAGGCTGCTCCAACAGCAGGATGGACAGAACAAGGGKCTGACACCACTCCTTTCTCAAGAGAAGCAGCTGAACTCCTGGATGGTAAATTATTTTTTTATCTCAAGATAAATAGGGATGGAAAATGTGACTTTCTGAACACCAAAATATGCTTTAGGCAACACAGAACTGATGTTTCCCCAGCAAACTGCAGAAGGTGCTGATGCCTGAGCAGTTTGCAGGAAAGGTTTGTGTTATTCCATTGCTCCAGGACAAAAGAAAGTGAATGTTAAAGCAGAATCTTTGGAAYTGAACTAATGCAGCAATAGCCCATCAGGCAGAGAGAGGATTGTTTAATGCCCCTGTGGTGGTGAGCTGCCTTTTTAGTGTTTATACACCTGGCAAATCAGGCAAGTGAAGACTTTTCTTGACAAATATAATCATACATGAATAAAAATTGTTGTAAAAGAACAATTATGTGTGAACCAGACAGCAGAAATGGGAGCAGGAAAGMTGAACTATTACCCATGTGTGAATGAGGTAAGGCAGAAAACAATCTGGTGGCATCTTGGTRAAATGGAAAAATGTTTAAGGAAAAAGTAAATAATCTGATATAACCATGAAAGCACCAGCTCCTGCAGGTTGAAATAACACAGGAATGTTGGTGTTGGGCACGTGTGGACTCACATTCCCAGGTAAATCATCAGCAGGGAACAACAGGGAACCTCTTCCCAGAGCAGCCAATACCCAGGGATGGCTGGAAACCACTCAGTTGTTAATMTTTGTAAATGAGGAAAGAGAAGGYAATTAGTGAAAGYCAAGACTCTTTAATCTCTCACTGCTCCCTGGACTTTGTTCTTGCTCKGGAGCTTTCCACAGACTGTGTGAGWGTAAAGCCCTACCTGGGAGGAAGGTGCAAAGTGTAACCTTGTTCATGATAAAGGAGGAGCTCTCTATATCCATAGGGTGCTTTAAAACATCATTTACAACCCAACTGGATGTGGCTGKCTGAGCCAGCAGGGAATTTAGAGAGGTGGAGAAAAGAGTAATCAGATGGAGAGGTTAAACTGGAAAGTGCTTTGGATCAGTGGCAATAATCCCCAAAATGGGGAGCTGTGAGTTACCCCCCCTAAGTACCAACAAGATTCCTGAAATGTTAATAAGGGTGAGACACTGAAGGAAAAAAACTTGCAGGATGAATGTTTTTTGTGCTTCCTAAAACTGGGTGCATCTTACTGGCCTGGGTTTGCCAGCAGCATTGTACAGGGTCAGCTTTACTGGGSTACAATTAATTCTTATTTCTGGTTTGGGGGCAAAACATCTGCTGTGCTGGCAGAGTGAAGTATCAAAAAACAGATAGTGGAGCTATGACAAAATAAAAATTCCTGCCTCAAAAAAACCCAGCATCTGTGGGTTTAAACTTGYCATGGTTCTAATTGTGAAATCAAAATTAAAATCAAAACACATATTTGACTGGAATGTTTTGATTTTGACACTTTTCCAACTTGAAACGTAAATAAAGAGTAGTTATAAAATTAAGTGTAACAGCACACGCTGTCCCTATCAGCACAAGGATCTCACTTTTGGAAGAATAAGTTAGAACTTGTCAGGTGGCTTGTGGGCTTAAAAAAAAAAATCCAAACCACCAAAAATCATAAAACACAATCAGGAAACCAAATATTCATCGCTTTACATAAGGCTCCTATTTGAATTCTTTCTTGTGCTAAAAGGTTTTTTGAGATAAGGAAAACTTTTATGCTCAAATAGGTGATAAAAGCCATAAAGTCTCCTGGTAAATGGAAGTTCTCATAAACAAAACACCAAGTCCTGTTTAAAAGAACTGTTTCATGTTTACTCTGCCAAGTTGCTGATGGTGCATAAAGTTGTTCTCTTAATAATGAGCTGSTTAGAGGAACGCCCAGCATCCAAAAATGTTTTACCTCCTCGGAGATCTGCATTTTAATCAGCTGATGAAACAGATGTGGGAGGATTGTCAGGAACTCTGGTTCTGAAATCCCAGAGAAGCAACTATAGATCTT